GCCAGTAAGCCACCAGCCACATGGCAAGGTATAGATGTATGGAAATGGATCAATTTAAGATAAAAGCACAGTTACCAAGATAAGGACAGTTGGCAGGAAGCCTGCCACGGCCATGCAGTTTGCAAGCAATATAAGTGTCTGTGTTTATTTGGTTGGGTCTGAGCGGCTGTGGGAGTGGCGGGTGACAGAGGTTTGTCCTGACTGTGGGCAAGGCGGAAAAATCAAGCTACAGTGTATGAGTATCTCTAGAGCTGCAGTGCACCAGCATCTAGAACTGCAGTGCACCAGCCTCTAGAGATGCAGTGCATCAACCTCTCTAGAGCTACAGTGCATCAGCCTCTCTAGAGCTTCAGTGCATCAACCTCTCTAGAGCTGCAGTGCATCAACCTCTCTAGAGCTGCAGTGCATCAACCTCTCTAGAGCTACAGTGCATCAACCTCTCTAGAGCTGCAGTGCATCAACCTCTCTCTCTAGCAAAGGATAACCAGGCTACTATAAACAATTCAAGAGAAGTCAGTTAAAGAGGAAGACCCTAAGACAGACATGCATGGATCACCCCAGGAAGGGAAAATGGTTAAGAGGTCCTGGGTAAACTGGGAAGGGGGTAGAAGGTTGAGGATGGGGGAATGGGACCATGAGGGATCTGGATGGTCAGGTTGGAGGAGGGATGGAAAGGGAGAGCAATGAAAGAGATATCTTGACAGAGAGAGCCATTATGGGGTTAGGGAGAAAACTGGTGCTAGGGAAATCCCCAAGAACCCACAAGGATGACCCCAGCTAAGACTCCTAGCAATGGTTGAGAGGGTGCCTTAATTGGTCTTCTTCTGTAGTCAGATGGGGTCTACCTTAATTGTCGTCATAGAACCTACTTCCAGTGACTGATGGAAGCAGATGCAGAGATCTACAGCCAAGTACATGGCCGAGCTCCTGGAGTTCAGTTGAAGAGAGGGAGGAGGGATTATATGAGCCAGGGGCATCAAGACCATGATGGGAAAAAACCACAGAGACAGCTGACCCGAGTTAGTGGGAGCTCAGAGACTCTGGACTGACAGCTGGGGAGCTTGCATGGGACGAAACTAGGCCCTCTGAATGTGGGTGACAGCTGTGTGGATTGATCTGTTTGTGGGGTCCCTGACAGTGGGACCAGGACTAATCCTGGTTATATGAACTGGCTTTTTAGAGCCCATTCCCTATGGTGGGATGCCTTGGTCAGCCTTGATGCAGGGGGGAGGGGCTTGGTCCTGCCCCAACTGAATGTACCAGGCATTGTTGACTCACAATGGAGGCCTTACCATCTATGAAGAGTAGATGTGGGAGTGGGGTGGGGTAGAGATGAGAGCAGGAGATGGGGAGTGAGGGGGAACTGTGGTTGGTATGTAAAATGAAAAAAAAATCTTGAATAAAAAAAGTGCCTAGTACAAGGCTTCCCAAGACCTGAGGAAGGCTGTAGATTGACTGTTCAATGGCTTTGCTTGGATTTACTGACCTTCACTTTGACTTCAGGAATATTCAAAGCTTGTGCAAGTTCATTCCTGTGGAAAGAAAACCACCAATGTTTAGTGTGCAGTGTTTTACATGAAATGCAGAGTCATATATGATTACTACACTTTTTTAATATTGCTATCCTCCCTCACACCCACATTTAACTTTCATACTCAGAACTAGTCTCGCTTTTGAAATACTTTTACCTCTTAAAAAGTTTTTAAACAATACAGATGAATAATTTTAACACACTATTAAAAATTAAAAATAGCCAGGCGGTGGTGGCGCACGCCTTTAATCCCAGCACTTGGGAGGCAGAGGCAGGCGGATCTTTGTGAGTTCGAGGCCAGCCTGGGCTACCAAGTGAGTTCTAGGAAAGGCGCAAAGCTACAAAGAGAAACCCTGT